TACACATACTAGGGACAATTTAGACAGGAGCCAATTCACCTATCAGCATGTCTTTGGAGAGTGGGAGGAAACCGGAGTACCCGGAGGAAACCCATGCAGGCACAGGGAGAACATGCAAACTCCAGGCAGGTGTTGCCGTGGTTGGGATTTGAACCAACGACCCCAGTACTGCCAGGCTTAAGTGATAAAAAAACTAAGCCACTGTGCTGCCCATAATATAATTTTAACATGCTACTAACATTATTACCATCCTGTTCACAAGTATATTTAAAAAATAAGAAACTGACTACAGGATTCCTGTTACTACACCTTCCTAACCTTAAAGTGTTTGTAAAGCTTCAGCTTTCCTAAAAAACAAGTATGTCATACTTACCTGCTCTGTGTAATGGTTTTGCACAGAGAGCAGCCCCAATTCTCTTCCTCTCAGGTCCCTCGCTGGCGCTCCTGGCTCCTCCTCTTCAGCCAGTGTACTCGTGCAGGACTCGCTCCTGAGTCCGTTGCCTGCGTCCATAGACACAGCCAGTGGGGCACACCCCTGCTCCCTTGTCACAAAGTGTGACTGACATCAGCAGGAGCCATTGGCTATTGATCTGCCCTGTGAGGAGGAACAGAGCCGGGGAGCTGCTGCTCTCATGCACAGCACTGTATAACGATGGGACTTAGATAAGTATAAGGACGGGACGGGGGGGGGGGGGGGGCTGGGAGAAACCCAAGCACAGGATTATTTACCTTCATGCATAGAATCTGATGACCTGTGATGTTGTCAGACCCTTGAAAAAAAAGTTATAGGGCTTCAGGTAAGAGGGTGTCTTTTTTTAAATAGATTTCTACTTTAAAAATGGAAGTGATTTAAAGTGGTTCTAAAGGCAAAAGGTTTTTTTTCCCTGAATCCAATCTCCGCATTTAGTGAAAAAAAACCTTCTGTGTGTAGCCCCCCTCAAACTTACCTGAGCCCAATCTTAATCCAGTGCTGTGCCCAAGAGCAGAGGCTCTCTCTCCCCCTCATTCGCTCCTGCTGCTGTCAATCCAGCCTGTGAAGGGAGAGAGGGCGGGGGCGGGGATGAGCTGCATTGTGTGTGTCAATGGACACACAGGACAGCTCGGGATTGAGCCCGCATGAGTGCCCCCATAGCAAGCAACTTTACTATGGGGGCACTCAGTGGGGGGGGGGGGGGAGAAGCCAAGGGAGTCGGTGGGGATCCTAGCAGAGAAGGATTTGGGCTGCTCTGTGCAAAACTATTGCACAGAGCAGGTAATTATGATATGTTATTTAAACCCTTCCCGTCTACGCCTCCCAACCCTTTAAGTGGTTCTAAATGCAGGGAGGTGGAGGTGGGCATTCCGATCATGTGACTGCTGTGATTGGCAATTACAGCGGTCACGTGATCATAAAGCTCCCAATTTCAAGTATGCATTGGGAGCTTTCTGGTACCCATTAGTTACTGTGGTGGGAGCACGCGCTCAGCACAGTAATGTGTTTATTTATTTGTTTGTTACAGGTACTTGTATAGCACTTTACATATATATTGTACATTCACATCAGTCCCTAACCCTCAAGGGGCGTACAATCTAAGGTCCCTAACCCTCAAGGGGCGTACACTAATTCCCTAACTCACATCACACATACACATAGTAGGGACCAATTAGACAGGAGCCAATTCACCTACCAGCATGTCTTTGGAACGTGGGAGGAAACTGGAGTACATGGAGGAAACTCACGCAGGCACAGGGAGAACATGCAAACTCCAGGCAGGTAGTGCCGTGGTTAGGAACTGAACCGGCAACCCCTGTGATGCTAGGTGGAAACGTGGTAACCACTTAGTGGATATATGCAGCCACTGTTTGGTGTTAAAGCCCACCTGCCGAGAGGCCTGCATATATGCGCCACGTTGGTGGGAACTGGTTACAAAAAAATTCCCTTTACCATCAATTTAACCGCCTCCCACCCACCATATAAGGAAATGATGGACGGGCGGCGGTTCTCACGTTCTGGGAGGACATCATATGACGTCCTCCCACTCAAACTGCGCATGCGTGCCCCCGGGGTTGCGGCAATCGGTGGTGCGCTGTGTCCCTGGGACACAACGGATCACCGATCAGAGTAAAGAGCTGATGACGTAGGCTCTGTCATGTGATCAGCTGTGTCCAATCACAACGGATCGCATGTAAACAAGGAAATGCTGGTTATCGTCAGTCCTCTCCTCATGCTGAGAGCGTGTGAGGAGAGGAGGGCTGGTAATCAACATTCCTCAGAGGGGACATCTACACTGATCATCAGGGCATTAATGATCAGGGCAGCCCCATCAGCACTACCTGTCAGTGCCCATCAATGCCACATATCAGTGCCCATCAGAGCTGCCTTTCAGTGCCAGCTATCAGTACCAGTCAGTGCCACCCAGGGGCGGACTGACAACTCATGGGGCCCCGGGCAATAGGGGATCATGGGGCCCTTGTGTCCTTGCCCAAACTCAAAAAAGCCTATGAAAAAGGCACCAGGGGCATCTCATCGGGCCCCCTACTGACCCCGGGCCCTCGGGCAGTGCCTGAGTTTCCAAATGGTCAGTCCGCCCCTGGTGCCACCTATCAGTGCCAGGCAGTGTCGCATATCAGTGCTGCCAATCAGTGGCACCTATTAGTGCCAGTCAGTGCCCATCAGTGCCACCTAACAATTCAAATCAGTGCAGCCTGTCAGTGCTCATCAGTGATACCTGTCAACGCTCACAAGTGATGCCTGTTAATGCCTATCAGTGCCACCTACCAGTGCCTCCTCATCAGTGCCACCTATCAGTGCCCATCAGTACAGCCTATCAGTGCCCATCAGAGCAGCCTATCAGTGCCCATCAGTGCAGCCTATCAGTGCCCATCAGTGAAGCCTCATTAGCGCACATCAGCGAAGGAGAAAAATTACTTATTTACAAAATTTTATAACATAAACCAAGAAAAACTTTTTCTTACAAAATTTTCAGTCTTTTTTAGTTTGTTTAGCAAAAAATAAAATAAAAACAGTGGTGAATAAATACCACCAAAAGAAAGCTCTATCTATCTCAAAACAATTATACAAATTTTGTTTGGGTACAATGTTGCATGACCGCGCAATTGTCATTCAAAGTGTGACAGCGCTGAAAGCTGAAAGTTGGCCTGGGCAGGAAGGGGGTATAAGTGCCCGGTAGGCGAGGGGTTCAAGGCCCATGTACACGGATGTCTGCAGGCATAATAATCCCGGCATCTTTCCATGCTAGGGAACTGAAGGTGACGCATGCGTGGGTACAAGCAGATGAAGGGAAGCATTGCCATTTACCTGGTTATGGCCGTGTGCAGCTATTCACTTCTACGGTTGCCTGCGGTTCCCCGAGTGTTAAAAAAATTGTACGTGTATGACGATGTCCCTGAAGCTGCCACAAATGTCAGTTAGGTAACATTTGCAGTCAATGGAACTGCTATTTTCCAGGGATTTTGTTGCTGCGTTGTTCACCAATTCATCTGTTCACCTGGTTATGAAACTGTCAGCGTCAGCAGCTGCCTGTGTTATACAACACGGCTATTGATAAGAGCTGCACAAGTGGGTGCCGTATAGACGATGGAGGACGGTTATGTCATGTTAGCAAGCTACAAACCAACACAGAAACAAGGGATATCTGTCAGAAAATGACGAGTGTGATAATGATACCCTCCGTACAGTCATTGCTGGTTCTTATTTCACATGCCTTTCCGTTATCATTTCCTTTAACCACTTCCAGTCCGGACACTTTCACCCCCTTCCTGTCCGGACACTTTCACCCCCTTCCAGTCCGGACACTTTCACCCCCTTCCTGTCCGGACACTTTCACCCCTTCCAGTCCGGACACTTTCACCCCCTTCCAGTCCGGACACTTTCACCCCCCTCCTGTCCAGACACAAACACCCCCTTCCTGTCCGGACACGATCACCCCCTTCCTGTCCGGACACTTTCACCCCCTTCCCTGTCCGGACACTTTCTCCCCCCTTCCAGTCCGGACACTTTCCCCCTTCCAGTCCGGACACTTTTTACCCCCCTCCAGTCGGACACTTTCACCCCCTTCCTGAGTTCGCGGACACTTTCACCACCTTCCATTCCAGACACTTTCACCACCTTCCATTCCAGACACTTTCACCCCCTTCCATTCCAGACCCTTTCACCCCCTTCCAGTCCAGACCCTTTCACCCCCTTCCTGTCCCCAGACACTTTCACCCCCTTCCTGTCCGGACACTTTCACCCCCTCCAGTGTGGACACTTTCACCCCCTTCCATTCGGAAACACTTTCACCCCCTTCCATTCGGAACACTTTCACCCCCTTCCAGTCGGGACACTTTCCCCCCCCTTCCAGTCCGAACACTTTCACCCCCTTCCAGTCCGAACACTTTCACCCCCTTCCAGTCCAGACACTTTCACCCCCTTCTATTCGGAACACTTTCCCCCCCTTCCAGTCGGGACACTTTCCCCCCCTTCCAGTCTGAACACTTTCACCCCCTTCCAGTCCGGACACTTTCCCCCCCCTTCCAGTCCGGACACTTTCCCCCCTTCCAGTCCGGACACTTTCCCCCCCTTCCAGTCCGGACACTTTCACCCCCTTCCAGTCCGGACACTTTCACCCCCTTCCAGTCCGGACACTTTCACCCCCTTCCAGTCCGGACACTTTCACCCCCTTCCAGTCCGGACACTTTCACCCCCTTCCAGTCCGGACACTTTCACCCCCTTCCAGTCCAGACACTTTCACCCCCTTCCAGTCCAGACACTTTTCACCCCCTTCCAGTCCGGACACTTTCACCCCCTTCCAGTCCGGACACTTTCACTCCCTTCCAGTCCGGACACTTTCACCCCCTTCCAGTCCGCCCGGACACTTTCACCCCCTTCCAGTCCGGACACTTTCACCCCCTTCCAGTCCAGACACTTTCACCCACTTCCAGTCCGGACACTTTCACCCCCTTCCTGCCCAGGTCAATTTTCAGCTTTCAGCGCTGTCACACTTTAACAATTGCGCAACTGTGATCAGTAAGTGACATCTTGCTTACTACTATTCATGTGATCACTGATTGGCCAATCAGTGATCACATGATCGGGACCTCACACAGAGGTCATTATCCTCGCACGTCATTGAGAAATACAAGCTGTGTGTCACGGTGGTAGATGAGACTTGCAGTGCATTCATTCACAGATTGCTGTGAATGAATGACATGGCTATGTGGGCGGAGCCCCTACACAGCCAAGCTGTTTTTGAAAAGTGACAGCGGGTGCTGACCCCCAAAATCCTAAAACACTTACCCGGCTCCTCTGCAGCACTGCTCCGCTCTCGTCTTGGTCTCACAGGAGACACTGAGGGCTCCTGTTGCTGCTGATCACACTCCTGTGACGAGGAAGTGGGGGGCATGCCATACCGGCGCTCAGCCTGGCTCGAGAGTGTGCGCGCACGGGTGCCCCCATAGCACTAAACTTGCTAAGGAGGCACCCAGAGAAAGGAAGAGTTACAGCCCCTGTGGGGGACTACTAAAGTGGAGTTAAGGGACCACTCTGCAATATCATTGCACACAGCAGTTGTCGTTGCAGGAAAGAAAATTGTACAATGTATGGCCTGCTTAAGTAAAACCTATTTTTGATTTTAATGGAAAAAAAAAACTGCTTTAAAGCGGAGTTCTTTCAAAAGAGGAAGGTCCGCTTTAAGGCTTTGTCCCCCCCTCCCCATTAAGAATTGGCACCTTTGGGGAGCGGGGGGGAGGGGATACCCAAATCTGACAGGTATCCGCTGCAATCGCATAGGCGACTGCAAAGCGGAAGTTGTCCTCACCTTCCCCCCCATAGTTTTCTGGGACACGTGCCACCAGAAGACTACGGGACCATTCATGATCACCTAAGGAGGAAGTTGTCCTCTCCCCTCCTTCCCCATACTCTTCTGGGACACGTGCCACCAGAGAACTACGGGACCATTCACGATTGCCTAAGGCGGAACTTGTCCTCACCCCACCCCCCCCCCCATAGTCTTCTGGGACACATGCCACCAGAAGACTACGGGACCATTCACGATCGCCTAAGGCGGAAGTTGTCCTCCCCCCTCCCTCCCTGTAGTCTTCTGAGACACGTGCCACCGAAAACTACGGGACCATTCACGATCGCCTAAGGCGGAACTTGTCCCCCCCCCATAGTCTTCTGGGACACATGCCACCAGAAGACTACGGGACCATTCACGATCGCCTAAGGGGGAAGTTGTCCTCCCCCCTCCCTCCCTGTAGTCTTCTGAGACACGTGCCACCAGAAGTCTACAGGACCATTCATGATTGCCTAAGACGGAAGATGTCCTCACTCCCCCCATAGTCTTCTGGGACACGTGCCACCAGAAGACTATGGGACCATTCACGATCGTCTATGGCGGAAGTTGTCCTCCCTCCCCATAGTCTTCTGGGAAACGTGCTATTAGAAGACTACGGGACCATTCACGATCGCCTAAGACGGAAGTTGTCCTCACCACCCCCCCCCCCATAGTCTTTTGGGACACGTGCCACCAGAAGACTACGGGACCATTCACGATCGCCTAAGGCGGAACTTGTCCTCACCCCCCCCCCATAGTCTTTTGGGACACGTGCCACCAGAAGACTACGGGACCATTCATGATCGCCTAAGGCGGAAGTTGTCCTCACCCCCCCCATAGTCTTCTGGGACACGTGCCACCAGAAGACTACGGGACCATTCATGATCGCCTAAGGCGGAAGTTGTCCTCACCCACCCCCCCCCCATAGTCTTTTGGGACACGTGCCACCAGAAGACTACGGGACCATTCATGATCGCCTAAGGCGGAAGTTGTCCTCACCCCCCCCATAGTCTTCTGGGACACGTGCCACCAGAAGACTACGGGACCATTCACGATCGCCTAAGGCGGAACTTGTCCTCACCCCCCCCCATAGTCTTCTGGGACACATGCCACCAGAAGACTACGGGACCATTCACGATCGCCTAAGGGGGAAGTTGCCCTCCCTCCCTGTAGTCTTCTGAGACACGTGCTACCAGAAGACTACGGGACCATTCATGATTGCCTAAGACGGAAGATGTCCTCACTCCCCCCATAGTCTTCTGGGACACGTGCCACCAGAAGACTATGGGACCATTCACGATCGCCTAAGGCGGAAGTTGTCCTCCCTCCCCGTAGTCTTCTGGGAAACGTGCCACCAGAAGACTACGGGACCATTCACGATCGCCTAAGACGGAAGTTGTCCTCACCCCCCCCCCATAGTCTTTTGGGACACGTGCCACCAGAAGACTACGGGACCATTCACGATAACCTAAGGCGGAAGTTGTCCTCACCCCCCCCCCATAGTCTTTTGGGACACGTGCCACCAGAAGACTATGGGACCATTCATGATCGCCTAAGGCGGAAGTTGTCCTCACCCCCCCCATAGTCTTCTGGGACACGTGCCACCAGAAGACTACGGGACCATTCACAATCACCTAAGGCGGAAGTTGTCCTCACCCTCCCTCCCTGTAGTCTTCTGGGACACGTGCCACCAGAAGACTACGGGACCATTCACGATCGCCTAAGGCGGAACTTGTCCTCCCCCCTCCCTCCCCATAGTCTTCTGGGACACCTGCCACCAGAAGACTACGGGACCATTCATGATCGCCTAAGGCGGAAGTTGTCCTCCCCGTAGTCTTCTGGGACACGTACCACCAGAAGACTACGGGACCATTCCCGATCGCCTAAAGCAGAAGTTGCCCCCCCCCTCCCTCCCCGTAGTCTTGTGGGACACGTGACAGGTCCCAGAAGACTACAGGACCATTCACAAAGTGCAGCGCTACTCGTGCATGCGCAGTGGGCACCCAGCTGTGAAGTCGCAAGCTGTCACAGCCGGCTGCCCACACTGAAGATGCCGGTGCCGGGAACGCAGGACGGCCGATGTGAGCACACCATGGGATGGAGGGACAGCTGTGTATTTTTTCTTTAACCTCTTGCCGTCCGCCTGCTGTTTATAAACGGCAGGGCGGTGGCAGTCCAGGGACGGGTTGCCGTTCCTAAAACAGCACCCGCCTTTTCTAGCTGTGCGCGCTCCCTGGGAGCGCGCACCACCGCGATCCGGTGCCCGCTGTGTCCTCCGGACACAGTGAAACACCGATCGTCGGACGGGACCTCTGTACGAGGTCCCGATCATGTGATCACTGATTGGCCAATCAGTGATCACATGCAAAGTAGTAAGCAAGATGTCACTTGTGACATCATTGCTTACTACGTGTGAAATCTGTGAATGATCACAGAGGTCACATGGTACAAGGCTATTCACAACAGCCTTGTACCATGTGACAAGCTGTGACCAATCACAGCTCACTCAGTATTTCTCAATGACTGCAAGAATGCAGACAGAGAGAAAGAGAAATGATTGCTTTTACATCTATATGGGTGTAAAAGCAATCAGTGTAAAAAAAAAAAAAAAAAATCTTCATCACCCCCCACAAGTAGTACAGTGTCACCATGGTGACACTGTACTGCTAGGGTGACAGTATGTAAAAAAAAAATAAAAAATATTATAAAAAAATAAAATGAAAATGTAAAAAAAAATATTTAAAAATTATAATTTTTGGTTATAAACTAATTTGGATTTTTTTTTTTACTAAAAAAATAACGGAATAAATTTTGGCCAAGATTTATGATGAAATATTATTTATTTGCAAAATTTTATAAAAAAAACACTTTTTTTTTCAAAAATTTTTAGACATTTTCATTTACATAGTAAAAAAAATAAAAATCCCAGCGGTGAATAAATACCACCAAAATAAAGCTTTATCTGTCTCAAAAAAATGGTAAAAAATTCATATGGGTACAGTATTGCATGACCGCGCAATTGTCATTCAAAGTGTGATAGCGCTGAAAGCTGAAAATTGCCCTGGACAGGAAGGGGGTGAAAGTGTCCTGACTGGAAGGGGGGGAAAGCGTCCGGACTGGAAGGGGGGGAAAGCGTCCGGACTGGAAGGGGGGGAAAGCGTCCGGACTGGAAGGGGGTGAAAGCGTCCGGACTGGAAGGGGGGGAAAGCGTCCGGACTGGAAGGGGGGGAAAGCGTCCGGACTGGAAGGGGGGGAAAGCGTCCGGACTGGAAGGGGGGGAAAGCGTCCGGACTGGAAGGGGGGGAAAGCGTCCGGACTGGAAGGGGGGGAAAGCGTCCGGACTGGAAGGGGGTGAAAGCGTCCGGACTGGAAGGGGGGGAAAGCGTCCGGACTGGAAGGGGGGGAAAGCGTCCGGACTGGAAGGGGGGGAAAGCGTCCGGACTGGAAGGGGGGGAAAGCGTCCGGACTGGAAGGGGGGGGGGAAAGCGTCCGGACTGGAAGGGGGGGGAAAGCGTCCGGACTGGAAGGGGGGGAAAGCGTCCGGACTGGAAGGGGGTGAAAGCGTCCGGACTGGAAGGGGGTGAAAGCGTCCGGACTGGAAAGGGGGGTGAAAGCGTCCGGACTGGAAGGGGGTGAAAGCGTCCGGACTGGAAGGGGGGGAAAGCGTCCGGACTGGAAGGGGGAGAAAGCGTCCGGACTGGAAGGGGGGGAAAGCGTCCGGACTGGAAGGGGGGGGGAAAGCGTCCGGACTGGAAGGGGGGGGAGAAAGCGTTCGGAATGGAAGGGGGGTGAAAGCGTCCGGACTGGAAGGGGGGGAAAGCGTCCGGACAGGAAGGGGGAGAAAGGGTCCGGACTGGAAGGGGGTGAAAGTGTCCGGACTGGAAGGGGGGGAAAGCGTCCGGACTGGAAGGGGGGGAAAGCGTCCGGACTGGAAGGGGGGGAAAGCGTCCGGACTGGAAGGGGGGGAAAGTGTCCGGACTGGAAGGGGGGGAAAGTGTCCGGACTGGAAGGGGGGAGAAAGTGTCCGGACTGGAAGTGGTTAAGTCAGCAGCTACAGTTTTTGTAGCTGCTGACTTTTATTTTTTTTTTCTAATTTTAACTGGCCTTCCAATTTAATATCACTTCAAATTTTTATTAAAGATAATAACGTTTATTGCACGTTTAAAAATACCGACAGGAACACAGATCCATAATGCAATAAATGCAACCCCCTCCCATCCCGGCAATGTTATAACCTCTTTCCAATCTGGACAGCTTGGTATGCTTGTAAATGCTGAGAAAACATAAATAAAAAAGAAACAAATATACTTAATAGTACCATCACAGGTAGTAACCAAATACAAATTTCAGGACACAATCCTATTTGCGGCCGTGTTCCCACAAATCTGTCTTTCAGGATTCCGCAACTTTATGAGAGATGAGTTTGCGGAGAACAGATCTCATCCTTGTATTATCGCAAATCGGTCCCTACCTCATTAGAAAAGCTCCGTAATAGGCTCATCTTTCTACCTGGTAAAAATGTACTCTTCAAAGAAAAAAAGAAAGTTAATTTCCAATGATCTGTCCCTGGGTGACACTTGAGAGGCGTACAGGCTTGCACAAACAGAGCGCGCAGGCAAACACTGAAACAATAGAAGCAATTATTGCAAATTGGTAAAACAGCATGGAGAAAAAGTAATTGAAGAACAGATGAAATGTTCATTGGAAAAAGACTGCAGCATCTTCAGCATCTGTTTGGGCTTTCATACAGCTGCAGATAGAGGAAAATCTATGACGGGCCGACGTTAGGCAGGAGAAAGACAAAAAGAAAAGTTGCCTCAACAAACCGCCTGCCTAAAGCAACCTGCCAAATGTGGCTGGCAACGCTTCCCAGAAAATACCGACTTCCTTGGAAGCGATTCAGAGACGTGGAAGAGGGCAATCATCTGTGCATAGGAAAACAATTCCCATCAAGGTGACAATCTCCGGAGCTTTGGAGGGCATTTCCTACAGATTATTATACAGGATTTATATCGCGCCAACAGTTTGCTCAGCGCTTTACAATATAAAGAGAGACAATAAAACAACAATACAAGAGGGATAGGAGGGCCCTGATCCTGGAGCTTACAATCTAAGAGGGAGGGGCTAGTGATACAAAAGGTAGTAACTGTGGGGGATGGACTGGTAGGAGGAGCAGAAGATTCCATTATTAGCTGAGGATAGGCTTCCCTGAAGAGAGAGGTTTTCAGAGATCGCCTAAAAGTGAGCAGAGTAGGTGATAGTCTGATAGATTGGGGTAGAGAGTTCCAGAGGATGGGGGAGGCTCTGGAGAAGTCTTGGAGACGAGCATGGGAGGAGGAGACAAGGGAGCTAGAGAGCAGGAGGTCGTGGGAGGAGTGGAGAGGACGGTTTGGGTGATATTTGGAGACAAGATTGGTGATGTAATTTGGGGCGGAGTTATAAATGGTTTTATATGTGATTGTTAATGTTTTGAATTTTATTTGTTGGGCAATGGGAAGACAGTGGAGGGATTGGCAGAGAGGGGTGGAGGACACTGAGTGGAGGCTAGTGGAGGGATTGGCAGAGAGGGATGGAGGACACTGAGTGGAGGCCAGTGGAGGGATTGGCAGAGAGGGAGGGAGGACAGTGAGTGGAGGCCAGAGGAGGGATTGTCAGAGAGGAGTGGAGGACACTAAGTGGAGGCCAGTGGAGGGATTGGCAGAGAGGGAGGGAGGACATTGAGTGGAGGCCAGTGGAGGGATTGGCAGAGAAGGATGGAGGACACTGAGTGGAGGCCAGTGGAGGGATTGGCAGAGAGGGATGGAGAACACTGAGTGGAGGTCAGTGGAGGGATTGGCAAAGAGGGATGGAGGACACTGAGTGGAGGCCAGTGGAGGGATTGGCAGAGAGGGATGGAGGACACTGAGTGGAGGCCAGTGGAGGGATTGGCAGAGAGGGAGAAAGGACATTGAGTGGAGGCCAGTGGAGGGATTGGCAGAGAGGGAGGGAGGACATTGAGTGGAGGCAAGTGGAGGGATTGGCAGAGAGGGGTGGAAGACACTAAGTGGAGGCCAGTGGAGGGATTGGCAGAGAGGGATGGAGGACACTGAGTGGAGGCCAGTGGAGGGATTGGCAGAGAGGGGTGGAGGACACTGAGTGGAGGCCAGTGGAGGGATTGGCAGAGAGGGAGGGAGGACATTGAGTGGAGGCCAGTGGAGGGATTGGCAGAGAGAGGGTGGAAGACACTGAGTGGAGGCCAGTGGAGGGATTGGCAGAGAGGGATGGAGGACACTGAGTGGAGGCCAGTGGAGGGATTGGCAGAGAGGGATGGAGGACACTGAGTGGAGGCCAGTGGAGGGATTGGCAGAGAGGGGTGGAGGACACTGAGTGGAGGCCAGTGGAGGGATTGGCAAAGAGGGATGGAGGACACTGAGTGGAGGCCAGTGGAGGGATTGGCAGAGAGGGATGGAGGACACTGAGTGGAGGCCAGTGGAGGGATTGGCAGAGAGGGATGGAGGACATTGAGTGGAGGCCAGTGGAGGGATTGGCAGAGAGGGAGTGGAGGACACTGAGTGGAGGCAAGTGGAGGGATTGGCAGAGAGGGTGGAAGGACACTAAGTGGAGGCCAGTGGAGGGATTGGCAGAGAGGGATGGAGGACACTGAGTGGAGGCCAGTGGAGGGATTGGCAGAGAGGGGTGGAGGACACTGAGTGGAGGCCAGTGGAGGGATTGGCAGAGAGGGAGGGAGGACACTGAGTGGAGGCCAGTGGAGGGATTGGCAGAGAGGGAGTGGAGGACATTGAGTGGAGGCCAGTGGAGGGATTGGCAGAGAGGGGTGGAAGACACTAAGTGGAGGCCAGTGGAGGGATTGGCAGAGAGGGATGGAGGACACTGAGTGGAGGCCAGTGGAGGGATTGGCAGAGAGGGATGGAGGACACTGAGTGGAGGCCAGTGGAGGGATTGGCAGAGAGGGGGGAGGACACTGAGTGGAGGCCAGTGGAGGGATTGGCAGAGAGGGATGGAGGACACTGAGTGGAGGCCAGTGGAGGGATTGGCAGAGAGGGATGGAGGACACTGAGTGGAGGCCAGTGGAGGGATTGGCAGAGAGGGAGGGAGGACATTGAGTGGAGGGATTGGCAGAGAGGGATGGAGGACACTGAGTGGAGGCCAGTGGAGGGATGACTTATATGGGGATGCATACATTCAAAGATTAAAGCAGAACTCCAGGAAGGATGTAAACTTACATTGGTCCAACATGGTTGCATACAACTATCAATGTATCACAATCAGAGGGCCACTGGAGGTGCCTAAATCAGTTCTAAAGACTAAAAGTCTTTAGGTTTTTTTTTTACCCTAATGTATTCTCTGCATTATGGGAAAAAGTTCCTATACCTGTCCTATTTACCTCGCTCCCCCCCCCCCAAAGAAAATTCTTACCTGGCTACATGTCATTGGTCCAGCGCTGTCTCCTGCACCCCTCCCCTCACTTCCTGCTTCCATAGACTCCTGCTGCTGTCCGTCAAACCCCTGTGAAGAGGGGCTTTGCAAAGAGCAGCGCCGAACCTCCTCTTCTTTGATCTCCTGTGCACGCTCCTGGCTCCTCCCCTTCAGCAAGTGCCCCCATAGGAAGCCGCTTCCAACGGGGGCACTCATGCAGGCTCACTCCCGAGCCCCACTGCCTACATCCATAAACACAGACAGTAAGGTTCAGCCCTGCCCCCCACACCCTCATCATAGGATTTTTTTTTTTCCCTTGGGAGAGTGCATGTGATCCGCACTGGGCCAATCAGCACTGTCCAGACAAAGGTCAGGGGTTCTGCATCCTCCTAGAGCAGAAAGAAAACTCATCCTACACGCTTTAACATGTGCTCTGCTGGACACTGATAGAAGTCACAGGACTGCTATATACTGCTGATGGGAAAAGGTATTTAGTATTCAATATTTACTAAAATAATTGCATTTCCATGTTGTGTGTACTGTGGGGGACCGGATATAGTGAATGCAGGGTCCGAGGAGAGCGGATATAGTGAATGCAGGGTCCGGGAGAGCGGATATAGTGAATGCAGGGTCCGGGGAGAGCGGATATAGTGAAGGAGAGCGGATATAGTGAATGTGCGGGGTCCGAGGAGACCGGATATAGTGAATGCAGGGTCGGGGGAGAGCGGATATAGTGAATGCAGGGTCCAGGGAGACTGGATATAGTGAATGCGGGGTCCGGGGAGAGCAGATATAGTGAATGCAGGGTCCGGGGAGAACGGATATAGTGAATGCAGGGTCCGGGGAGAGTGGATATAGTGAATGCGGGGTCCAGGGAAACAAGACATAGTGAATGCAGGGTCCAGGGAGAGCGGATATAGAGAATGCAGGGTCCGGGGAGAGCGGATATAGTGAATGCAGGGTCCGGGGAGACCAGATATAGTGAATGCAGGGTCCGGGGAGACCAGATATAGTGAATGCAGGGTCCGGGGAGACCAGATATAGTGAATGCAGGATCCGGGGAGAGCAGATATAGTGAATGCAGGGTCCGGGGAGACCAGATATAGTGAATGCAGGATCCGGGGAGACCGGATATAGTGAATGCAGGATCCGGGGAGACCGAATATAGTGAATGCAGGGTCCGGGGAGAGCGGACATAGTGAATGCAGGGTCCGGTGAGACCGGATATAGTGAATTCAGGGTCCAGGGAGACCGGATATAGTGATTTCAGGGTCCGGGGAGACCGGATATAGTGAATGCGGGGTCCGGGGAGAGCGGATATAATGAATGCAGGTTCCGGGGAGACTAGATATAGTGAATACAGGGTCCGGGGAGAGCAGATATAGTGAATGCAGGGTCCGGGGAGAGCGGATATAGTGAATGCAGGGTCCGGGGAGACCAGATATAGTGAATGCGGGGTCCGGGGAGAGCGGATATAGTGAATGCAGGGTCCGGGGAGACTGGATATAGTGAATGCAGGGTCCGGGGAGATCAGATATAGTGAATGCGGGGTCCGGGGAGAGCGGATATAGTGAATGCGGGGTCCGGGGAGATCAGATATAGTGAATGCAGGGTCCAGGGAGAGAGATATAGGGAATGCAGGGTCCGGGAAGATCAGATATAGTGAATGCGGGGTCTGGGGAGAGCGGATATAGTGAATGCAGGGTCCTGGGAGACCAGATATAGTGAATGCAGGGTCTGGGGAGAGCGGATATAGTGAATGCAGGGTCCTGGGGGAGACCAGATATAGTGAATGCGGGGTCCGGGGAGAGCGGATATAGTGAATGAGGGGTCCGGGGAGAGCGGATATAGTGAATGCGGGGTCCGGGGAGATCAGATATAGTGAATGCAGGGTCTGGGGAGATCAGATATAGTGAATGCAGGGTCTGGATAGAGCGAATATAGGGAATTCAGGGTCCGGGGAGATCAGATATACTGAATGCAGGGTCTGGGGAGATCAGATATAGTGAATGCAGGGTCCGGGGAGAGCAGATATAGTGAATGCAGGGTCGGGGAGACTGGATATAGTGAATGCAGGGTCTGGGGATATAGTGAATGCAGGGTCCGGGAAGATCAGATATAGTGAATGCAGGGTCGGGGGAGATCAGATACAGTGAATGCGGGGTCTGGGGAGACAGATATAGTGAATGCAGGGGTCTGGATAGAGCGGATATAGTGAATGCAGGGTCCGGGAAGATCAGATATAGTGAATGCGGGGTCGGGGGAGATCAGATACAGTGAATGCGGGGTCCGGGGAGATCAGATATAGTGAATGCAGGGTCCAGGGAAGCGGATATAGTGAACGCAGGGTCTGGGGAAACCAGATATAGTAAATGCACACCAGATATGGTGAATGCAGGGTCCAGGGAGAGCGGATATAGTGAATGTAGGGTCCAGGGAGACCAGATATAGTGAATGCAGGGTTCAGGGAGAGCGGATATAGTGAATGCAGGGTCCTGGGGAGAGCGTATATAGTAAATGCAGGGTCTGGGGAGAGCAGATATAGTGAATGCAGGGTTCCGGGAGAGCAGACATAGTGAATGCAGAGTCCGGGGAGATCGGATATAGTGAATGCAGGGTCCGGGGAGAGCGGATATAGTGAATGCACGGTCCAGGGAGAGCGGATATAGTGAATGCAGGGTCCAGGGAGAGCGGATATAGTGAATGCAGGGTCCGGGGAGAGCGGATATAGTGAATGCAGGGTCCGGGGAGACTGGATATAGTGAATGCAGGGTCCGGGGAGATCAGATATAGTGAATGCAGGGTCCGGGGAGAGCGGACATAGTGAATGCGGGGTCCGGGTAGACCAGATATAGTGAATGCAGGGTCCGGGAGAGCGGACAGGATATAGTGAATGCAGGGTCCAGGGAGAGCGGATATAGTGAATGCAGGGTCCGGGGAGAGCAGATATAGTGAATGCAGGGTCCGAGAACGGATATAGTGAATGCAGGGTCCGGGGAGAGTGGATATAGTGAATGCGGGGTCCAGGGGAGAGACAGATATAGTGAATGCAGGGTCCAGGGAGAGCGGATATAGTGAATGCAGGGTCCGGGGAGAGCGGATATAGTGAATGCAGGGTCCGGGGAGACCAGATATAGTGAATGCAGGGTCCGGGGAGACCAGATATAGTGAATGCAGGGTCCGGGGAGACCAGATATAGTGAATGCAGGATCCGGGGAGAGCAGATATAGTGAATGCAGGGTCCGGGGAGACCAGATATAGTGAATGCAGGATCCAGGGAGACCGGATATAGTGAATGCAGGGTCCGGGGAGACCGAATATAGTGAATGCAGGGTCCGGGGAGAGCGGACATAGTGAATGCAGGGTCCGGTGAGACCGGATATAGTGAATGCAGGGTCCAGGGAGACCGGATATAGTGAATGCAGGGTCCGGGGAGACCGGATATAGTGAATGCGGGGTCCGGGGAGAGCGGATATAATGAATGCAGGTTCCGGGGAGACTAGATATAGTGAATACAGGGTCCGGGGAGAGCAGATATAGTGAATGCAGGGTCCGGGGAGAGCGGATATAGTGAATGCAGGGTCCGGGGAGACCAGATATAGTGAATGCGGGGTCCGGGGAGAGCGGATATAGTGAATGCAGGGTCCGGGGAGACTGGATATAGTGAATGCAGGGTCCGGGGAGATCAGATATAGTGAATGCGGGGTCCGGGGAGAGCGGATATAGTGAATGCGGGGTCCGGGGAGATCAGATATAGTGAATGCAGGGTCCAGGGAGAGCAGATATAGTGAATGCAGGGTCCGGGAAGATCAGATATAGTGAATGCGGGGTCGGGGGGAGAGCGGATATAGTGAATGCGGGGTCCGGGGAGATCAGATATAGTGAATGCAGGGTCCGGGGAGAGCGGATATAGTGAATGCAGGGTCTGGATAGAGAGGATATAGGGAATTCAGGGTCCGGGGAGATCAGATATAGTGAATGCAGGGTCTGGGGAGATCAGATATAGTGAATGCAGGGTCCGGGGGAGAGCAGATATAGTGAATGCAGGGTCCTGGGGAGATCAGATATAGTGAATGCAGGGTCTGGGGAGATCAGATATAGTGAATGCAGGGTCCGGGGAGAGCAGATATAGTGAATGCAGGGTCTGGGGAGATCAGATATAGTGAATGCAGGGTCTGGATAGAGCGGATATAGTGAATGCAGGGTCCGGGAAGATCAGATATAGTGAATGCGGGGTCGGGGGAGATCAGATACAGTGAATGCGGGGTCCGGGGAGATCAGATATAGTGAATGCAGGGTCCAGGGAAAGCGGATATAGTGAACGCAGGGTCTGGGGAAACCAGATATAGTAAATGCACACCAGATATGGTGAATGCAGGGTCCAGGGAGAGCGGATATAGTGAATGTAGGGTCCAGGGAGACCAGATATAGTGAATGCAGGGTTCAGGGAGAGCGGATATAGTGAATGCAGGGTCCTGGGAGAGCGTATATAGTAAATGCAGGGTCTGGGGAGAGAGCAGATATAGTGAATGCAGGGTTCCGGGAGAGCAGACATAGTGAATGCAGAGTCCGGGGAGATCGGATATAGTGAATGCAGGGTCCGGGGAGAGCGGATATAGTGAATGCACGGTCCAGGGAGAGCGGATATAGTGAATGCAGGGTCCAGGGAGAGCGGATATAGTGAATGCAGGGTCCGGGGAGAGCGGATATAGTGAATGCAGGGTCCGGGGAGACTGGATATAGTGAATGCAGGGTCCGGGGAGATCAGATATAGTGAATGCGGGGTCCGGGGAGAGCGGACATAGTGAATGCGGGGTCCGGGTAGACCAGATATAGTGAATGCAGGGTCCGGGAGAGCGGACATAGTGAATGCATGGTCTGGGGAGAACGGATATAGTGAATGCAGGGTCCGGGGAGAGCGGATATAGTGAATGCAGGGTACGGGGAGAGAGGATATAGTGAATGCGGGGTCCGGGGAGAGCGGATATAGTGAATGTGGGGTCCGGGGAGAGCGGCAATAGTGAATGCAGGGTCCGGGGAGAGCAGATATAGTGAATGCAGGGTCCGGGAAGAGCAGATATAGTGAATGCATGGTCCGGGAAGAGCAGATATAGTGAATGCGGGGTCCGGGGAGAGAGGATATAGTGAATGCGGGGTCCGGGGAGAGAGGATATAGTGAATGCGGGGTCCGGGGAGAGCGGCAATAGTGAATGCAGGGTCCGGGAAGAGCAGATATAGAGAATGCGGAGTCCGGGGAGAGAGGATATAGTGAATGCGGGGTCCGGGGAGAGCGGCAATAGTGAATGGGGTCCGGGGAGAGCAGATATAGTGAATGCAGGGTCCAGGGAGAGCAGCAATAGTGAATGCAGGGTCCGGGGAGAGCAGATATAGTGAATGCAGGGTCTGGGGAGACCAGATATAGTGAATGCGGGGTCCGGGGAGAGCGGATATAGTGAATGCAGGGTCCGGGGGAGAGCGGATATAGTGAATGCAGAGTCCGGGGAGATCAGATATAGTGAATGCAGGGTCCGGGGGAGATCAGATATAGTGAATGCAGGGTCCGGGGAGATCAGATATAGTGAATGCAGGGTCCGGATATAGTGAATGCCGGGTCCCAGATATAGTGAATGCGGGGTCCGGGGAGAGCGGATATAGTGAATGCCGGGTCCGGGAAGACCAAATATAGTGAATGCCAGGGTCCGGGAAGACCAAATATAGGGAATGCAGGGTCCGGGGTTTAGAAACATCTCAATGGGGAGTGGGGGACGAGGCCTTAAAATGGAACGTCCCCTTTCGGGTGGAGCTCCACCTTAGGAATACATACTGGAATAATTTTGTTTGTTTATTTTATTATCAATTTATAACAAACGACTTCTGAGAATCATCGTTCTGTCCTGACAGGTTTTCTATGCTATTTTCACAGCTCCCGAGGACAGATACTTCTCGCCTTCTATGAATAAATGGAGGACCGATCTGGGCCTCGCACTCACGGAGGAACAGAGGAATCACGTCTTGTTTTTGGCCATAAGTCTACAATCTCAGACACGTATCAGGAGGCTGGGGACAAATTGTAGACCAGATGGTACAGAACATCTACGGTATTGAACACAATCTTCCCGTTTTGTTGGCAGTGCAGTCAGGAGCGTGGAACGCTACACCACATTTTCTGGCAGTGCCGGCTTATCCGCCCTTCCTGGGAGAAGGTCCAGAAGGTGATCTTTCAGCTCATAGATTGTCAGCTGGCGGACCATCCTGAGGACTTCTCACGTCACCTGACTCTAAAGACCGCTACAAAAAGTCACTGTTGGTTCATTTGATAAGTGCAGCCAGGGTCTGTGTCGTTCAAAAGAAAAAAAATGCTCAGTTTAGTGTGTACTGCTATAGGATTTTTTTTCCTTAGGAGAGTGCATGTGATCTGCACAGGGCCAATCAGCACTGTCCAAACAGAGGTCAGGGGTTTTGTATCCTCTTAGAGAAGAAAGAAAACTCCTCCTACAAGCTTTAACATGTGCTCTGCTGAACACTGATAGAAGTCACAAGACTGTTATATATGCTGATGATGAGAAAAGGTATTTAGCAGTTTATATTTACTAAAATAATTGCATTTCCATGCTCTGTGTACTGTGGGAGACCAGATATAGTGAATGCGGGGTCCGGGGAGACCAGATATAGTGAATGCAGGGTCCGGGGAGAGCGGATATAGTGAATGCGGGGTCCAGGGAGACCAGATATAGTGAATGCAGGGTCCGGGGAGAGCGGATATAGTGAATGCAGGGTCCGGGGAGAGCGGATGTAGTGAATGCGGGGTCCGGTGAGAGCGGGATATAGTGAATGCAGGGTCCGGGGTGAGAGCGGATATAGTGAATGCAGGGTCCGGTGAGAGCGGATATAGTGAATGCAGGGTCCGGTGAGAGCGGATATAGTGAATGCGGGGTCCGGGGAGAGCGGATATAGTGAATGCGGGGTCCGTGGGAGAGCGGATGTAGTGAACGTGGGGTCCGGGGAGAGCGGATATAGTGAATGCGGGGTCCGAGGAGAGCGGATGTAGTGAACGTGGGGTCCGGGGAGAATGGATATAGTGAATGAAGGGTCCGAGGGAGACTGGATATAGTGAATGCAGGGTCCAGGGAGACCAGATATAGTGAATGCAGGGTTCGGGGAGAACGGATATAGTGAATGCAGGGTCCGAGGAGACCAGATATAGTGAATGCAGGGTCCGAGGAGACCAGATATAGTGAATGAAGGGTCCGAGGAGACCAGATATAGTGAATGCAGGGTCCAGGGAGACCAGATATAGTGAATGCAGGGTTCGGGGTGAGAGCGGATATAGTGAATGCAGGGTCCGGGAGAGCGGGTATAGTGAATGCGGGGTCCGGGGAGACCAGATATAGTGAATGCAGGGTCCGGGGAGAGCGGGTATAGTGAATGCGGGGTCCGGTGAGACCAGATATAGTGAATGCAGGGTCTGTGGGAGGGGATACAGTGAATGCAGGGTCTGTGGAGAGCGGATATAGTGAATGCGGGGTCTGTGGAGAGCGGATATAGTGAATGCGGGGTCTGTGGAGAGCGGATATAGTGAATGCAGGGTCCGGGGAGAGCGGGTATAGTGAATGCGGGGTCCGGGGAGACCAGATATAGTGAATGCAGGGTCCGGGGAGAGGGGATACAGTGAATGCGGGGTCTGTGGAGAGCGGATATAGTGAATGCGGGGTCTGTGGAGAGCGGATATAGTGAATGTGGGGTCCGGGGAGACCAGATATAGTGAATGCAGGGTCCGGGGAGAGGGGATACAGTGAATGCAGGGTCTGTGGAGAGCGGATATAGTGAATGCGGGGTCTGTGGAGAGCGGATATAGTGAATGCGGGGTCTGGGGAGATCAGATATAGCTCAAAAGAAAAAAAAAAACTCTTCTAAACGCAAATGCACATAAACGCGGTATTCAAACGCGCCTAAACTAACGTTTTTTAACCTATAGCAGTCAGTTTCCATCATTCAGAAGAAGAAGCAGAAAAAAGAAGAAGAAGAAGAAGAAGGAAGAAGTAGAAGGAAGAAGAAGAACAAGAAAGAAGAAGAAGAGGAGGAAGGAAGGAAGGAAGGAAGGAAGGAAGGAAAGAGAAGAAGAAGGGGAAGAAGAGGAAGAAGAAGAAGAAGAAAGAAGAAGAGGAAGAATTCTTAT